TTAATTTTTTATTTTCTTTTTTCCTCATCATCGTCATCATTGTTTCTCCATTTTCTTTTTCCAATTCTATTATTTTATGCACTTTATTTTCTTCTTCTTGTTTAGCCAAATCTTTTAATACTCTATTATTAAGACTCGGATAATCTTTTATTATACCGCGGATAAGCCATCTGTAAAAAATCGTTATCGTGTCTTGTATATTATTGAATTAATATAAAAGCGGAAGACATTTTTTTATTATTATTATTATTTACTTGTAACCGTTATCGATTCCAATATCGATTTTTTTTGTAAAATGTAATGCCGAACAAAGTTCTACCAATGTCGGACATTTATTTTCGTTAACAATTTTTTCTAAATTTAAATTATCGACAATATCAATTTCATCTAAAGCTCCATCGACATCTTGTTTGTTTGCTAATAACAAAATGGGTTTCCCTGATATTTCATCGTTTTTAATTAAATTTTCGAGGACTTGACGACATTCTTCCATTCTATCGACAGCTATGGAGTCTACGACAAAAATCACTCCGTGAGCCTAAACAAGATTATTTATTTATTATTATTATTATTATTATGTAAAACAATAATATATTTAAAAAATTGATTTGTGATGAAATATAAAGATGACGCATTCATTTTAATAAAAGATTAAGTCATACCTTTCACGTTAAATTTCCATTAGAGTATATGGACACACGTAAATTATATTTTTGGTCATTAATCAATCAATCAATCAATCAATCAATCGATAAATTTAAATTTTTGGGACTTACATCAGCATAATATCTATGCCATATATCACGAATTTGTCGTCCACCGCCTAAATCGTATAGGGATACTTTACATCCTTTTTGTCGGAGTGTTATTACTGAAAATCCGATTGTAGGTACGACAGAATCAATGGGTTCTCCAGATAATCTTTTTGCAATTGTTGTTTTACCCGCTTTGTCAAGACCCACTAGGAGCAAGGTAACATTTCTAAAATATTAACAAAAATTTAACTCATTTCCATTACGATCTCAACGATTATATTATTAAATATATATATTTACTTTGGATTGATGGCCGATGATGATCTTCGTAATCGAATAGGAAGACAGCAATTTCCCATCGCTGGACATCACGACTTATTACTTTTCCGATTTATATATTTTTTATGAAAAAAAAAAAAAGCATAATCGAAAAAAATCATCCATTTTTTTTTTTTTAAAAAAAAGAATAAATTTTTTGTTTGTTTCAAAAACGTTGCTTAGCAACCGAATTCAAATTATAAAATTCACAACAAAATAACAACAAATAAAAACGATCGATGACGAATCTTATTAATTATTTTTGTATAAAATTATTAAAATTTTTTAACGTTTACTAAAAAAAAATTAATATTTTTTTTAATTATTAATAATTTAATAAAAAATTATTTAAAATTATTATGTTTTGTTTTTTTTTTAAATTAAAAAATTACTTGTAATTACCGAGTGAGTAGTGTTAAAAATAAAAGATTTCTGAACGTACTCTCGAGAATCATATTCACATCAACAACGATGACAACCGTTCAATTGGGAGAGAAAAAAAAAACGTTAGAAAAAAGTTTGTTATTTAATTAAAAACTCTTTTTTTTTTTTTTTTTTTTAGATTTGATTCAAATTAAAATAAATCGTCATGTACGATCCTTATAAATATACTAAAACGAGAGAGGATGAATCGAATGAAAACGATAATTTTAGTATTGACGAGGAAGAGGATAAAAAAAAAAAAGGGGAATCACTTTTTTCAAAAAATTTTTTCGATTATTTAATAAATAAAAGTTTTAATTGTAATACGAACGAATTAAAAACACCTTTCGACGATTATAAAACACTTTTAAATACAAGAGAATATAAAACGGAATCATCGGATGAAATAACGGATTACGCGTCGGATCAATCGTCGAAAAAATCAATGAAAAAACAACACAGGAGAAAATATAAGAAAAAAAAATCAAATCCATTTTTTAAATTTAATCATCCTTGTAGAAATAAATTCACTCAGTGTAATTTACCAATAGATTCCGAAGAAGTAACAATAACCGAAGAATTAAAACCGTTTTTATCAAACATAAGCGTTCTTTTAAACGAATTAGAAATTAATAATTGTCGAGAATCCGTTGAATTTAAATGTTTGCATAACATGTTGACGAAAATAATTGCTTTCGTAACGGAAATAATGAAAAGACCTCTATCAGAACACGATCCTGAAAAAAAAACAGAATTTCATAAAAGTTTAGAAAAAAATTTAGAAACCATATTGAACGTTATAACGGATTATAGGAAAAATTCCGTTACGGATTTAGATGTGGGAATTCGAGAATTTAAACGTATCGAAAGAGAAATCCTTCAAAATGAATATCATATTTCGGAAGCGACGAAAAAATGGGAAGAACGTTTTAAAGTATTACCAGAATGTAGTAATATCGATATAAGACTTGCTAATAGCATACTAGCAAATGAAAAATTAAAAGCCATTATTAAATTTAATCAGAGTCAAATTAAAAAATATAAAAAAATGATTATCGAAAAAGAATGGACGAAACACAAACAGGAAAATGATATTGCACATTATAAAAAAAAATTATCCAAAATTGATTTGACTATGGAAAATGATGTCTCCAATACAAAATAACAAACAACAAACGTAATATTTCAACGGAAATAAAAAATGAATTATTAGTTATGAAAAAACAAAGTCCGAAAAAAATTTAAAAAGAAAATTTAATATTTTTCTTATTGCCGCCATATTTGTGTGTGTGCCAGAATCTTTCTCTCATATTAACTTGAAATAACGAAACTCTTAATTATTCTTATTATCAAAATATATATATATATTTATCTCTGTTATCACAAACATTTTTCATTTTTTTTTTTTTTTAATGAAATAAACTCTTTCTTAATACGCTCCTGATTATTCTTTCCATTCTTCCTTTAAGCTTTGACTGGAACTTTGATTGTTATTGTTTTCGTTTCCAAATATTCTTTAAGAGATTCTTCTCCTCTGCAATACAAATATAAACTTTGAAAAATGCGTCACGAGTCGTGTAAATAGAAAAAATTATTATTATTATTATTATTATTATTTACAAATCTCTTCCGAATCCGGAATTTTTAAATCCGCCAAATGGAGTCTGACTAGTTATGGCATCGTAACAATTAATCCTAAACAAAAAAAAAAAAAAAAAACAGTTAGCGAGTTATTTTCCAATCGAACGTATTTAAGGAAAAACTTTATGACGTCATCACCGACCAAACGCTTCCTGCTTGAACGGATTGCGCAAATGTCATGGCTTTGTTTATATCGGAAGTTATTATACCGGAAGCTAATCCGTACGTTGTGTTGTTTGCACGCTCTATGACTTCTTCCAAAGTTTTAAATTTTATTATTTGTTGAACGGGTCCGAATATCTAAGAGATAAAAACAAACAAATTTTTTTAACGAGAGGAATAAAGATAAAGCGATTTTTGAAAATTTCTCACTTCTTCCTTAGCTATTCTCATGTTATCGGTGACGTTTGAAAAAACTGTTGGCTCTACGAAATAACCGACGTTGCCAAGTCGTTTTCCACCGCATTCAACCTTGGCTCCTTCCTTCTTTCCGCTTTCTATCAAATTCATGACTTTATCAAACATTTCCTTGTCAATCTTAAACAAACATATTTGTAAACATATTTGTCTTTGGATTACAAAAAACTGAAAATTTTATTACAAATTAAGGATTTACTTGGGGGCCCTGTTGAACTCCTTTTTTAAATGGATCACCAACGACTCTATTCGATGCCAATTGAGTAGCTTTTTCAACGAACGCATCGTAAATTGTATCCTGTACGAATGTTCTAGATCCGGCACAACACGATTGTCCATGATTTGAAAATAAACCTTCGTGTGCAATATTTACGGCTTCGTCAACTGCTCAAGAAATTAAGAAAAATGATTTCATCGGTAGCCATAAATAAATAGAAAAAAAAAAAAAAGGAAATTAAAAATGTCGTTGATACGAACGATCGGGAGCATCGGAAAAAACGACCAAAGGACTTTTTCCACCGAGTTCCAAAGACACCCTTTTCAAATTCGATGCCGCACAACCTTTCATAATTATTTCTCCTACTTCTGTCGATCCTGTAAATGCAATTTTATTCACGTCTGGATGATTTACAAGTGCTGCACCTGAAAAAAAAAACAAAATTTTTTAATATGAGTTAAAAGAATCGGAAAAATTTTGATAATTACCAGCTGTAGGTCCGTAACCGGGCACGACGTTTATAACCCCTGGAGGAAATCCAGCTTCTTTGGCAAGGGATGCCATGTACAAAGCAGTCAAAGGAGTTTGTTCTGCTGGTTTCATGACAATCGTGCAACCACAAGCAAGTGCAGGACCCCATTTCCAAATGAGCATCATCACAGGATAATTCCACGGAATGATTTGACCCACAACTCCAACAGGTTCCTTTCTTGTCATGCACATAAATTTCCCATCTGATTCGAGAAACAATCTCTCTTAAATATGTGATAATAATAATGATATTTGAAATCCCTCGGGGGAAAAAAAAGATCTCACCGACAGGTATTGTACTCCCATGTATTTTATCACACCAACCAGCATAATACCTTAATATTTGCGCACAGTAATACATTTCACCTAAAGCATCTGTTAATGGTTTTCCATTATTATATGTTTCAAGCATGGCAAGATAATTTGTATCTCTATCGACTAAATCAGCAAGTTTTAACATGAGACGACCACGTTGTGAAGCATCCATTGATCGATAGGGTGAACCAATTCTTTAAAACAACAACAACAAACAAACAAATCATTCAAACAAACAAACAAACAAATCATTCAAACAAACAAACAAACAAAAAAATGTAAAAGAATTTTAATAAATACTTACTTGAATGCAGCACGAGCAGCAGCAACAGCTTTATCGATATCTTCTTTTTTTCCTTCTTGTACATTTGCAATGACTTCTTCTGTCGCAGGATTGAGTACTGGAAAGGTTGATCCACTAATCGAATCCACAAATTCATTGTTAATAAAAATCTGAAAAAAATAAAAAAATAAAAAAAATATTAAGAACATGTGAGTGAAACATCGAGTAAAATTAAATAACTGATGTAATGTACATATCGATATAAATTATTAAAATAGGATTATTATACATCACATGTATGATTAAATTGTCATAATAACATACATCTGCAAATAATAAAGCTTTTTGTTTTTGTTTTTGTCGTATTTAATATAAAAAAGATAAAAGAAAATGAGGAAAAATTAAAAATTTAATTTAATGTTTTAGAGTTTTTCAAATTACTTTTTCAAATGAAAAATTCTAAATCTGTAATTTAATAACATAATTATAATCAAAAAAAAAAAAAAAAAAAAAAATGTGCAACAGTTTAAATTGTTTTGACCTTCACAAAGTATTAATGCGTTTATTTTCTACTTTAAAAAAATTAAATAATAATAATAATAATTCGTTGAAACCTGTAAAACAAGTTTGCAAAGTGACAAAGTGCAAATATTTAATGATTGGAATAGAAAAAAGTTTTTCTATCTCCATCTCTCTCTCTCTCTTTCTCTCTCTATACTGATTATAATATATACATGAAATTATTTAACACGATTAATGTTATTAATAATAAAAGAAAATTATTTCTTTAAATAAGTATATATATATATTATAATGACTCCATTTTTAATTTTTCAAAAATACCCGTTAAAATATACAATCAATCATCGAAATACATTATGGACAAAAAATCAAACGTTTTATTTCCTTTTTTATTATTTTATATTAATAATAATAAAATAATAATACTTACGCCACGATATTTAATATCTACTTTAGACATGTTGATTTTAAAAAAAATTAATAAAGAAATCAGTAAACCGAAAATTCAAAAAAAAAAAAAAAATTTCAAACTTTTAGAATGGAATATCTCGAACGAATAAAAAATTTCAACTGACTGACAGAGAAGATAAAAATTCGAGTCATAGAGTAAATAAACGTCGTTTTAATTTTACCATCAAAATATTTTGTTTCTGCCATTCTTTATTTGACGCCGCATCAGTTAAAAACATTTAAATATAAATAATTTTTTTTTTTTTAATATTTAAACTAAATAATTTAAAACAAATTTTTTTTTTTAACTTAAATCCGTTATAAATAAATTCGTTATTTAAAAAAAATTTTAAATAATAAAAGTAATTCGAAAAGAAAAAGAAGAAAATATTTTAAAAAAATTTTTTTTTATTTTTTTCGAAGTGTTTTTTTTTATTTTTTAAAATTTTTATTTAAAGTCGTTAAATTTGTCAAAAATCGTTAAAATGTTTAAAAAATTAATTAATAATAATATTATTAATCGTCGATATATTTTTTCATCGTCTTTAAGAAAAAATACAATGGATTCAAAACCTGTTCAAACAAATTCAAAAGTTGATCCAAATGTTTCAATTAATGGTAAGAGAAAGAGAGAAAAAATTTTTTTTTTGCTTTTAAAAGTTTAAATTAATAATAAATTTACCTTATTTATTAATTAGATATCAACAAGATTGCATTGAGTGACTTACAAAAGAAATTATTATACATATTTAGAGAATATAAAACAAAAGATGAAATCCCGGATACTTTGTGGTAAGATTTTTTATTTTTTTAATTCGATAATGAAAATTTTCTCAAGTCAATAATAATAAAAAAGAGGAAATTTAAATTAAGTTATTTGACACACACACACACACATACACAGACAGACAACTTATCTCCCAAACTTCATTTGGAATCAAATCAAATTTATTTATAATTTATTACACAATTCGTTAACGATAGATTATCAATTTTAATAATTTTTATTTAAATTGACAGCCTTTTCATGTCATATAAAAATTCCACAGTTTGAAAATGAAAGAAAATCTTTTTTTGTTTTATTTTCACAGTGCCGATACATTACAGAAAAAATTTAGTCGTATAAGAATAAAATTTGCAAATTTTTTAATGGTTTTATTCGTTATCGGAAGTGTTGCTGTCGCATATTCTGGTAAACAAAAAGCAAAAGCTGGTGAAACAATCACCAGAAGAATTTTAGAAAGAAATGAAAGAATAAAAGCAAATGGAGATGCTCATCACAAATAATTTCTTTCTATTATTATTATTATTATTATTATTATTATTATTATTATTACAATCATCATCATCATCCTCGAAATATATTTTATTTTTATTATTTTATTTAGTCGAGAAAGAAAAATTATATAAGTTGCTCATAAATAAGAAAATTTTTTTTTTTATATATATTTTATTAAATAGTTTTATGTATTATTATTATTATTATTTTCTTTTTTGTTAATTTTAATAAAAAAAGACTTTTTTTATTTATATATATAAGAGAAAGTTTGTCGTTTAGTGTACAATCAAATTTATATATATATGAATAAAAGTAGAATCCATAACTATAAGAATTCATTATTATTATTATTATTTAAAATTAAAAAAAAGGGGAGAAAGAGTGAGAGAGAGAGAGAGAGAGAATGATTAAAAATAAAAATGGGGAGATTACGTGAAAATAAAAACGTACACGAGAAGGAAAAAAAAAAAAAATTTTTAAGGGCATATAATAATAACATATTAATTAAAAACAAATTATCTAAAAAGAGTGAGAGAGAGGGAAACAAGTTTATTTTTAAAATAAAATTTTCTCTCTCTCTCTCTCTCACGCACTCTTACTCTCCATCCTCCTCCCCCCCCCATTTCCTTTCCTTCTTCGTATCTTTTGTGTAAATATTATTGTAAAACGTGACGTTAACCACGATTGATAATGATAATAAATTAAATGATTATTTATAAATAAAGTGAAAGTTGTATCGAAATTATCTCATAATAATAATAATAATAATAATAATAATAATAATAATAATAATAATAATAATAATAATAATAATAAATTGACCCTAAAAATAAAAATAAAAAAAATTTTTATCTGAGTTAGGAAAGAAAAAAAAAAATAAAAAATAAAAAATTTTGTGTGTGTTTTCGAACTGCTGCTTATAAACGATAATGATCGATTATTATTATTATTATTATTATTATTATTATTATTATTGTTGTTGTTGTTGTTGTTGTTGTTTGAACTACTTAACGGATTTTACTCTGAGAAATGCACGTAGTACATTTTTAAATTTTTTTTGTTACAAATTTTATTTGTTGTTGTTATTATTATTATCGTTTTTATTTTTGTTTGTTACTTTTCTCCCTCCCCTTCCCCAACCCACCGCTTTCCCTCCCTCTCCCTCTTGACTCCCCACTCCATTCCCCCCTCCCCTTTAATCGCATGCCATAATTTATAATTTAGAATTATTATTTTATTTTAAAAGAAATTTATGTATTCGTTAATTGTAATCATCGATTTTATTTACGTAATAAATTTTATTTTATTTTATTTTATTATCATTATTATTTATTTATTTATTTATTTATTTATTTATTTAATTACAAAATTATTTATTATATATATATATATATATATTTATTTACCGACATTTATTAATAACGAGATCATAAAAAAAATCCGTTTCGAATAATATTTTTCCATCCTCATTACTTTTTCTTCTTCCACGTTAAATTTAAAAAAAAAAATAATAATAATAATAATAAAATTATTGTGACTTTTCACAGCCTTGTAAAAAAAAATTTCGATCCTTTAATCGATAAATCGATCGATCTATCGTGGCACTTAAATAAAAAAAAAATTATTTACATAAAATACTGTTTGTTCACAGTCGTTATTTTCTTATACGCACAACCTCAATAACGATGATAATAATAATAATAAAACAGCCGATATCAAAAAAACAATATGGCGGACGGAACGTATATAATCGTGATAAATCATCACGTATTCACAATCTGTTTGTAACAAACAAACAAACAAACAAACAAGGGAGAGAAAGACGAAAACAACATTTAAAAAAAAAAACTTTTTTTTTTGTACCGGAAATAGTTAATTGAACTATGAACTTTACAAAGATAAAATGAGATCAAATTTTTTTTTTTTTTCGTTTTGTTAATTTTAATTATTTTTTGGACGGAATCTCGACATGTAAAAATCACAACCTGGACAATACAAACCAGGTACGGGAACTTGTTTCTTCCTGCATAAATGACAGGGATTCGTTTTTGTTCCGGTTCCGCTTCCTCCACCTCCTCCTTGCAATAAATTTTCTTGGGATTGTCTCATTTCGTTTATTTTACAATTTCCTCCTCCCACTCCTACCCCGACTCCTCCTCCTCCTCCTCCTCCCATCGGTATTTGTTTAGGGGGTGGCGGTTGTTGATAGGGTGGATAATTTTGCGGCGGTTGTTTTGATTTTATAGGTTCGTATCTCGGATACGATGTCGTTTGTTGCGGTGGCGTCGTCACTTTGTTTACCAAAGGATGATAATAGGGTGGGAAAATCGGTTTCGATTCCTGTTGAAGAGGCATCTTGGCCTGTTGCGTAATTCCTTTGACTCCCCCCCCTCCCGGCAATCCACCGCCCGCCGTTTGATACGATGAATTCGGCCTCGGAACATGATTTGGAGAATTTGAAAATGGCGGATTTTGACTTAGCGATAAAGTGGCACGAGCCATTTGTGGTGTTTTCTGAAGTGGTAACCGTACCGAAGAACTTTTATCCTGTTGCATGACGCTACATCTTCCAGATTCGAAATTTTGATCGTTGACGACCATCATGGCGTCTTTCGTAGGTTTCCGTACTTCCACGTACCTATTCCCGGAACCGTTTTGTAAATCCGAAACGTTGGCACCGTAGGGTTGATTCCTTATGTGAGGAACGTGAACGTACGGATGACCACCACCGCCGCCGCCGCCGCCACTCTTCACCTGTTCTTGCGTCAAATACTGTTGTTGTTGTTGTTGCGGTGGTAACCTGGCACCGTCTCCGTGAATCTGTTGTGAATACTGATAGGTTTGCGTGTGGGTTAAAGGTATCTGTTGAGAATACTGTTGCGGTTGAATACTGTTCGGTATTTGTTGCGGAACACTTCTAGGTACTTCCGTAGGTGGACCGTAGATGTGCGAATGATGGTAACCACGATTGACATCGGATAACGGATAGTGTGCGTTGTACCTGTTCGAATCGAATTGCTGTTGCTGTTGCGACTGCGAATAATTCATTCTGTGTACGTCGTTCTTTCCAACGTAACCGGATGAACCTGATGCTCTCATATATTCGGTTTCGTAACCTCCTTTTCCACCGTCGCTCGAATTAGGTCTTCCGCTTTCCGGTAATCCCGAGTACGTCGGATTCAATCTGGGATCCACATTTTGAGTATAAAGAATTTGTTGATTGTTGAGTCTACCATTACATTCTGACTCGTGAGAAACAACTTGAGGAACGTTCATCGTGTTGTGATGGGGCATCATGATAGGGGGCGGTTTGGATCTTTCTCCCGGTGTCATTTTCGTTATCAATTGATTTTTTTCTTGATCGGAAAATTCTGCTTTGTAAAGAGGATGAGTTCGGGACAGCGACCTGTTGGTCTTGTCGTTCGGATCCTTGTTCAAAGCCGACCTTAAAACTCTTTCCAATATTGGATTTGGTATAAAATTATCTTCTTCGTCATCGTCGGCCGTTGCCACCAACACGACTTGATCGCAAAAAGTAACGTTTTTCTTTTTACTCCCGCCATTTTTCCTTCTCAACATGTCGTTGTCTTCGTTTTCTTCTTCTCCCGTTAATTTTAATACGCTCGTTGTGAAATTTGTCGTCGTCGTCGTCGTCGGCAACATGTCGGCGACTCTTTTACTCGGCGAATTCATTTCCAACATTTCCGCTAATGGTACGTCATCCATTTTGGGTTTTTCCAACCTGTAAAATTCCGACGATGAACTACTTCTTCGAGTTTTACAACAATTTTCTTCTTCTCTCTTCTCTTTGTTTTCCACGACTCGTATTTGTTCGAATTTCGATGTCAAATCTTTAACAGAATTTATCTTATCTAAATCATCGGATTTTTGTTTCATCGTTTCCACGAAATCCACAATATCTTCCGATGAGTCTCCTCTGCTGTTGCTGTTGCTGCTGTTCAACTTTTGTTGAAGTTTTGCTTGAAGTTCTTTGAGTAAAGAATTCGAAGATGTCGTCTGCTGATTGGTGACGCTACCATCCGCCATTTTATTATTCTGCTTATCAATTTTATTTTTATCCGCTAATATTTGCTGACGTTTTATTTGAAGTTGAGTCAATAGACTCGCTTCTTCCATTATCAAAACCTCTTCGGGCGGCGGAGGAAATTCTTCGCTCGCTTGTCTCGAATGAACGACAGAATTTAACGGACTGGGATAGGGCGGAAGTGGAAGGTTGGCACCATTGTTTTCGTAATTATTCTCATTCATCATTTGTTCGTTTTGTGGTTCTTGATGAATTTGTGCTCTCGTGATCACTTGAGTTAATTCGTTTTGTGCACTTATGTTACCGTTGGCATATTGCACGGGATCGTCTTTGTACGCCGAGTAAGTGTCCGCCGTGTACACCGGCATGTAGGGCAAAGATCCGGCTTCGGTTTCGTGAACCGAATAAAACATTCCGCTATCACTTTTATCAACGATGTGATTCCCGTAAGGGTTCATTTCGTTGGGAAGTGGATATTTCGGACGTTCGGGTGAAGATTTCGATAATTGTGAAGTTGTTCTTATCGGTGGGGGTGGCGGAACTTTTGCCGCGTGTAAAAATTTTCCGACGCTTCCGTGAAAACTTTTTCTCATGAGTCGACTCCTTTCCAAATTCGGATTCGTCGCATTTCCGGCAAATTCCAAATGACCTTCCGATAAATATCCCGACAATTGTTTCTCCACCATCAACGATGATTTTATGCTCGTGTCGTCTTGAGTTTTCAAATCGGGATTTTTCAAATCTTCGTCTTCCCTTAAATCCGGCATGCTCCTGTTTTTCCTCCGAATCAAACCCCCCATTAATAATTTCCTTCTTATCTTATGCTGTTTTTTATTCGTGTTTTTCACTTCCGGTTCTTTCGTTTGTTTTTTACCGGAGTCTTTTCCGGTCATTTGCGATGATCCAAAGTCGGATTTTTTATTTCTCTCTTCGCTTCTCGCTCTTTTCTCCTTGACCGGACTCAACGCTTTATCATTTTTATCCCTTCCACGATTTTTGTCTCTTCCGGGACGATCGTAAATTAAATATTCGGCATCTTCGATTATGTTTTTGGGTGGGGAATCGTTGTTACTTTTACTCTTAACCCTCGACATGACGCCATTTTTTTTCTTCGGGAGTGTTGCGTATATTTCGATATTTTTCGACGGTTTTTCCGAAATATTGTGGACCCCGACGACAGGTTGCGGTAATTTTTCTTTCGATTTATTTAAATTTCCCGGTTTCGTTGCGGGTTGAGAATTCAACAATAATTCTCTCGAATTCTGACGAGAATGTTGTCCCTTATTGCTGTCGCGAGAATTTTGCCGACTGTGATTTCCCTTGGATTTAACACTCGAACAACTGTTTTCGCGACTGTGTCGACCCTCCAATGTTCCATCCTTGTCTCCGTTCATTTTCCTTTGGAGACTTCTCAGACCGACGACGCAAGAATTATGTTTCATTCTTGCTAACGTGATGTTGGCAGGATTGCTGTAGGGAGCATCCATGGCAGCGCGAGATTTGGCACACGCTGCTTGAATCAAAACGAGAGCACCTTCGTAATCGTGTTGATCTTCCAGCATCTTACTCTTGTTCATCAAATCGTCGGCCTCTTGGCAAAGTTGTTCGCAATCTTGACCCATGGGTAAAATTTCACCGGAGTCGACTTGATTGTAAACTCCGGGTACTCTCGCTTCCGGAATTTGAGCCAATTGCAGACTGTGCTTTAAACCTTGTTGTAGGGGCAACGAATCGGTCGAAGATAACGAATAAGAATCGTAACCCTGATCGAATTGTCCTCCATTTTCTTTTTTCGAATTGGGACTCCGTGGCACGGCTCCATTTCTACAAAACAATCAACCGTTAAAGATTTCAAAAAAATTGATTTTAAACCAAGTCAAAGGTTCAAAGTCGATTTTAAAAACGTACCTTTGTTGCATTTTCCCGACTATGTACAAGTAGGGATTTTCCATTGACGTTGACGAAGACGAAGAAGCACTGTTTCTATCTCCGCTCCAATTTCCAGAATCCCTTCTCCTGCTGGATGCCGTTAAACTTTCCGCTCCCGAACTGTTGTTCCTTTGCAATCCCGAATAATTACCAGAATCATTTTCCGAACACGTTCTACTGTACCGACAACTGCTATCGGAATTAGTTCTACCGAAAGCCCGGAAACCCGTTACGGAATCCGTTTCGGAACCCGTTCGATTAAAAACGCTACTTCTTTCACTTTCCGTGCTGTCCGATCTTTGAACGGGTTTACTACGTTCCAAACTACTTTTCGATATAGAATTAGATCGATTTAATTCCAAGTTACTCGGTAACGTCCGATTCGACATTGAATTCGATCTGTATAATTCTAAACCCCCGTTTAATCTGGGTTTTACGTCTCCCTGCCCGTAATTATTCTCACTGAGTCTTTTTTGAGTTTCGAAATTCCCGCCGCCGCCGCCGCTGCTCGTCGTCCGATGTATTTGCTTTTGATACGACAACACATTTTCCACCGCTTTCCGACTTATGTAACTCGGATCCATTTCTTTTTGTAGAGAGTTGTTACCGTCTAAACTTCGCGAAAGGATGACTGCTTGCATATCAGACAGATTCTGATAGTCGCTTATGGTTTGCTTATTGATTTCCGGATTGGGTGTTATGGCTCTTCTCGTCGGCGAAGTTGAATTTAACGTTTTCAAAGGTTTTTCCGGACTCGGAGTGACGGATCTTCGTATGGGCGATAACATTGGCATGGGTAAGTGACCTGCACGATAAGAAATCCTCGCGTTAATTAAACAATCATCGAGAGATGCACGTAAACACCTCGAACACTCGATACATACCTTGATTGACCAATCCATTTTTATTAACGCCGTTCAAAAGACTTTTATTGTAAGACCAAGAATTTTTATGTGATTTTCCCGTGGACGTTTGTAAATTCGTGACGGGAGTGATGAATTTCGGTGCGTCTTGAGTATTAACCGGAGTTCCTCCGAGAGCCGCGTATAAGAGCAACAAGGGCTGATACCTTCCGCGACGACACTTGTCGACGACTTGTTCCCATTTGGGACCCACTTCTCTAACGTTGGCATCATCGAAATAAATCCACAGTCTCAATTTCGTGTGAAAGAAAAACGTCGAGTAATGTTTTCCGTAGTAAGTCACAACTCCGACGAGAGCGTGTTGAGAATTCAACGCCCATCTTTGATCGATGACGGAATGAAAAACGTCACCCGGACGTAGGGTGGTTCCGATGGCGGCAAAAACAGCCATAATTTGTTCGAGGGTCGGCCTTTCCGAATCCCAAACAATTCCGACGGAAACGATTTCGGGTCGATTCATGAGGGATCTGCATATTTGAATTTTGGCACCGCAATTACTCTGGAAAAAAAAAAGGTACGGGAGAAAATAAGTATTGCGAGTGCGCTCCAGTCATTCCAGACTAGTAATGATCAATGGTTATAATTACAGGGCAGTCTCTTATGTCTCCCATTCCTCCGGCTCTTCGAAGTAACTGACCGAACAAGTCGGAATGTGCCGGACTAGTGGCCGACAATTGTCGAGCTTGGTCAGTTAATGCAGAAGCCGAAACGTAATGTACCATCTTGAAAAAAAAAAAAAAAAAAAAAATGGCGCGAGAGTTAATTACTTTCTTTTCTCCAATTCGATTGTCGAAACCTTATTAAGTAAAACCAAGTACCTGAGTGAATGGTAAAGGTTCGGACGTTGCACCGCAAGCATCGCAAACGCTTTGCTCAACCAAAGTCATTGCAAATTTCTGATGAGGAATGCAATGTTTCGCACTGCACATATCTTCAGCCTCTTCGTTTGCTATGTGAAAATGTATTCGGAGTAATATGTTTTCGAAACATTCCGACGCATCGTCCATGAATCCCAATTGAAATCTTTGCTGGTCGAAAAATGTTTCGGCAAGTGCTCTCCTCAGAGCGTCCGGAGGCAAAGCGCTTTCTTGCGAGAATTGTAACTGGGAAAACAATTCCTACAAAAGGGGGAAAGAGAGGAAAGAATTTATGAGTCAAACAAACCCTTAAAAAATTTAACCTCGTGACCCCGATTGAATGCTATGATATGTAAAAAGATCTCTCTCTCTCTCTCTCCTCCCCCTCCCCTCCCCCAGGATCGTACCTTTTTATTTGATTGACACGTCAAAAAAAAAGAAAAAAAAAATTTTTTTCAATGGGGCACGAGCGTCAACAAAAAAAAAATTTTTTTATTCGATTAATCAATCGGCCCGATCATCATCATCATCATCATTATTATTATTATTATTATTATTATTATTACTATTATTATTATTATTAACGTTTATTGTCATTTAAAATTAATCATTTCCGAGAAAATTTTCACTTTTTTCAAACAAAATATTATTTAAAATGGCGGAAATTAAAATTTTTTTTACGGGGAGCGGGGGGGGGGGGAAATTAATTTTTATAAATAAACAATAATAATAATGATAATAATAATGATGATCACGTACGGATTTAATTATAAAAAGTTTTTAAAGATTATAATAATAAAATTTAAATAAATAAAAAAAAAAATTGGAGAAACGTTTCCACGTCACCACGCCCCCCCCCGTCAACTCCCCACCTTTCTCCCCGAATATTCTTTACGAGAAAAAAAAAAAAAAAAAAAAAAAACAAACTTCACGTTTTTGCTGTATATTTTATGTAAATTTCTCGAAAAAAAAATAAAAATGGCGGAATATATTTATTTAAACAAAAAAAACTTTCCAATAATTTTCAATATTAATTCGACGAATTTAAACAAAAAAAAAAAAAACCAACTTCTGGAAAAGTATTATTATTATTACTATTATCATTATTATTATTAGTAAAAAGAGTATTATTTATATTAAGTGAAAAAAACAATTTTTAAAATCCGTCACGGAATTATGAGTCTTAAATAATTATTATCATTATCATTATCATTATTATCAATTTTCTTTTTCGTTTTTACGGAAAATTGTTGTCGTCAACCAACCAACCAACCAAACGGAAAATTCAACCAAACGAATCCAACCCAAATGTAACGATATGGAAAACAGAAAAAAAAAAAATTTATCGAATCTTCTGGAAAAAGAAAAATTCTCCCCAAAAAATTACGTAATGTGAGGGGAGCCGGGGGAGGAGGGAGGAAAGAAAAAACGAACCGTTGCATTATTCATTAACAAGAAAAAAAAAAAAAAAATTTCTCCAGTTCTCCAGTCTCTCGCACACACGCAATAAATAATAATTTATATTTTTATTACGTAATAAAAAAAAAAAAAAATTGAATTTAATTTAATTTAAACACGTCGCGACATTTTTTTTTTTTTTTTTTTTTTCTTAACCAGGTTCCACGAATTCGAATGTAGGAGTGACGTAACTCCCGACGGTACCTTGTGGCGGTGTTGGAGGCGGGGGGGGCGGTGCTAGTGGCGGGGGTGGTGGGGGGGTGGCAGCAAGTTATCGTTTTGCAATTGAATCAATTTACCACATGTTATCAAATGTTTTTTTTTTACTCATTCAGAGGGGTATTAAAACAGGGTAGTTTCAGGGTATTAAAACACCCCCAGCACCACCACCCTAACCCTCCCCAAATCAATCAATCAATAATAATAATAATAATAATAATGCTTACGAAGAGAAATATAAATCATTTTTAAAAAAAAGACGAACCAAAAATTGTTTTGTTTGTTATTTACAATAAAGGTCATGAACCCTGTGAAGAGATATCAGTTTACATACCTCATTGTCAACGAGACAGATACAAATTTCACGTAATAATAATAATAATAATAATAATAATAATAATAATAATAAAACGCGTGCGTGCGTGTTTGTGCGTGTGCGTGTTTAACGAACGCATAATAATTTTCCTTTTCCTTTCCTTTCCCTTCCTTTTTTTTCACACGGAAAATTTGAATGAAATTTGCAAAGCAAAATTTTCATAAGAGGTCATTAAATTCATTTTAAAAGTTCATCATCATCTGGACAAAAAAAAAAAGAGATGAGAGAGGGGAGAGAGAGAGGGGAGCGAAGGGGGAAGAAGAAAAGAATGGGAGAGAATAAAAGATTTAAAAAAAAACCGTTTCGTTCTGAACAAAAGGTCAGATCAAAAAATAATATAATAGAGTACGAGACGATTATCTTCTTTTTTTTTTTTTTTTACCCATAACATTCTAGTGTGTGTTTTATTATTATCATTATTATTATTTAATCGTGTCATTAGAACACGCGAATCCGCTCAATTATTTTTAATAATAATAATAATAATAATAATAACAAACGGAATTTGGATTTGTGAAGAGGAAGGCAGGCAAGCAGAAAGACAGACAAACAAACTTCTCGCGATATAACGTATTTATGACGTTGAAAAAATTTTTAGAAAATCAAAATGACTGTCGTAGTCGTACCTGTTTTTCTTATCTTAAACAAAACAAGTTTCGAGTAGGCCCCCCCCCTCCTCACGACAACAAACACAAACGCACACACACGTGCGTGTAACTTTTTTCTCTTCATTTGACTCTTAAAAAACAAAAAACAACCACAACAACCGAGACTCCACCACAAAAAAAAAAAAAAAAAAAAAAAACTTGGGGAGTCGTCGTCCGTTTCAAGCAACGACGCGATGATAATAATGATGATAATGATAATGATAATAATAATAATAATAATAATAATAATAATAATATTGATAATAATAATAATAACGACAACAACAATAAATTATTATTTTTTTCCCTCCGTTTATTAAAACAAAAAAAAGGCGCGAAACGATTTTCAATAGGGAATAAATAATAATAATAATAATAATAATAAAATGCATTAACGATGATGATGATGATAAATAAAACTTTTGACCTGGAAGCTGTTTTATATACACTCTAAGGCACGAACTTGATCATTTTCGCGCCAACTTCGACTCGAATATATAGTTTATACGTGCGTGCGTGTATGCGTGCGTGCGTGCGTGCGTGCGCGTGCGTAATGCGTTTTTTGTTTTTACGTGTGTGTACACACACACACACACATGTTACTTTGATCTCGGTCTGACATTTTAACATTAACATCATCTCGTACAACCGAGACCCGATTTTCGTATAACAAAACACAAATAATAATAATAATAATAATAATCGTAGCGTTTTAGGTACCGTCGCGTGTTAACCGGACTAAGAGACTCGAGTTTAGCATCATCATCATCATCATCATCATCAAGTTGACCAATCGGATTTATTTATTTATTCTCGAACGAACAAACGGTCACTAACCCGTTTAAATATTATTATTATTATTATAAAAAAAAAAAACCGCCGGAAAGTCTTAGTTTTACTCGTTTTTAAATACCTGTCCGAATTTTTGTTATTATTATTATTATTTTTTTTTCGGGGGCTCCGAGGCATGTAAACCTTGATTTTTTTTTACTTAATAATAACACGCACACACACGTTAAATTAAAATATTGAAAAAATTCGATAACTTACCTTTAGGGCGCAAAATATGCATGATTCCGCCATGCATGCATGACCCGATAACTCTCTGAAACTCCGGCGAAAAATATCCAAATGCCAAAGAACCTGAAAGTAAAAAAAATTAAAAAAATTATTTTTTACGACTTGACTTATACTTCAGCAGACGCTTTTTTTTTTTTAAACAACCTGTCGTCTGCTTTATGATTCACACACATATACACCTGCCCGCCTGTCACTTTTTCTCTTTCGATTTTATTAAACAAACTTAAAAAAAAATTATGACGTAATCATAATTGGGTTCGAATTTAAAAAAAGGAGGGAAATTATTATCATTATTATTATCATTATTATTATTTCGGGTAAATTCGTATCAGGCGTGTATATATACATTCATTCCTTTCTTATCGTTTAAAAAAAAAAAAAATTTTGATTACGAACCCTTTCGAAAATTTACCCGACATATTGCAAAACAAATTTTTTATCCGTTTATTATTTACTCGCAAATAAAGTTTCCCCCCTCCCCCGACGCTTTCATTCATTTCATCATTATCATCATCATCACTTCCGGTATCGTCTGATAAAAAGAAAAAAAAATTTGTAAAAATCCATTCGTTCGTTACAATATTTTGATAATAATAATAATAAAATCGTTTGTTTTTTGCTCTAATAAAACACATAAGATAAGAATCATTTCCGGTTTTGTTTTTACTTAAAAAATCTTCTGCTTTAATCGTGTCTCGTGTGCGTTTGTCGTCATTGTCATCGTCGTGATTTTCGTGACGTAGCGCATTTTTATTTACTTATTATTATTATTATTATTGTTAATAAGTTCATCACAATAAATAAAAAAATTTTTATCGTTTTTCAGGTTTTATGAAACAATATTTTAAATGTTTCAAAACAATCAATTCCCCTCCTCCCCTCGCGAGAAAATCAAAATGGCCTATTATTAGTATTATTATTAATTTTAAACTTAAAAAAAAAAAAATAAACGAAATTTTGAAATTTTAAATGGACTCCTCGGGTTTTATATTCTCTTAAAAACGAGAACACCTGGTACGGAGAGAGAGATATAGAGAGAGAGAGAGATTAAGAGAGTGAAACAGAAAATTTAAAAGATGATAATAAGATAACATCACTTAGGGGAGAGAAAGAGAAAGAGAGAGAGAGAGAGAGAGAGAGAGAAAGGGATGCAAAAATAAATATAAAAACTTGTTTTCAGGTACGTACGTAATGCAAACAAGCGCATCGTTTTTTTTTTTCCTTTTTTTTCCAACCAACCGTGGCACCTGTTTATATATATATACCTGAGACCTTCCTCCCTCCCTCTCCGGAAAAAAAAAGAATACAATTGTTGAAAATTACTGTTTACAGGAAATTACGAGTAATTTTAAATTTTTTTTAAATCTTTTTTTTTTTTTTTTATTTTTGTCCTTTGAATGTCTCAAAGGGTAAACAAACAAACGTTTGTTAGGGGAAAAAAAACAAAGGTACGCCTCATCATCATCATCATCATCATTATCATTTTTAAAACGAACGAGCGGCGAATTTAAATAAAAAAAAAAATCTCAGGTTTGGTTTGATGCAGCATCTTCAATATCATTCCCTCTCCCCCTTCCTTCTCCCTTTTCCTCCTCCTTTTCTCGTTTCCTTACACAACAAACCCACGTGATTTTACGTAATCAAAACCAATCTTCTGCTTCCACTTTTCTCTCCGGACACAATAAAAAAAAAGAATCCGAAAATTTAATTTTTTTGTGTGTGTGTGTGCGCAATTACGCCATTTAATTTGTCAACCGTCCAGAAAAAAAAAATGGCACACAATCAAACAAACAACACTCGACAAACAAAATAAAAAG